AATGGCCCTTACTAGCCTTGATGATACCTCGCATAGAAGTACTCATCGACGCAGATAAAATTACAATCACCGGGGATGACACCAAAGAGGTCCTGGACTTGTGCACTCTGCTGAAAGAGACATGTCGGTGTCGCAACACACCATCCCCCGCTCATGATATTCAACACGTCGACGTAAATGAGAACTCAAGCCAATACAAAACCCTAGTGCAAAAAGCTCTATCACAAATTCAGCAGGACCACTACTCCAAGATAATCTTATCACGCCCAGTCAACCTCCAAAACCGAGTGGACATGCCATCAACACTCCACTGTGGTCGTCAATCCAACACACCCTCTCGCAGCTTCTCCCTCCGCCATGGCGACTACCAAGCCACCGGATTCAGCCCCGAACTCGTCATGTCCCTAGACAAGGGGGTAGTAACCACCGAGCCTCTAGCGGGCACACGCTCCTGCAAAGGCACAGAAGCCGAAATCCAAAGACTCCGACATGAACTAGAAAACGACAGCAAAGAGATCGTCGAACACGTCATCTCCGTCAAAGAAGCCGTGCACGAAATCAGCCAACTCTCCGACAAGCCCATGGTAGAAGACTTCATGTCAGTACGGGTCCGGGGCAGCGTGCAACACCTTGGTTCTCGGGTCTGCGGACGTATATCCCCAGAAAAGGACATGTGGGATGCATTCAATGTTCTTTTCCCATCGATTACTGCGTCGGGGATTCCGAAACAGGCTGCTATTGATGCTATTTCTCGCCTTGAGTCGCAGCCCAGAGAGCTCTATTCGGGAGCTGTTCTGATGATCGAGGATGAGAATACCATGGAAGCTGCGCTTGTGCTTCGCTCGGTTTTCCAGGATCGTGATCGTCAGTGGATCCAGGCTGGTGCGGGAGTTATCGCGGAATCGGACCCGTCCAGAGAGTTGACTGAGACTTGTGAGAAACTTGCCAGTATTGCGCCTTTTGTTGTGAGGGAGGCGAAGGAGTCTAATGATAGGCTTAATGGGTATCATTGATGACAGATCTCATATTTCGTTTTATCGAACTGTTGCTTGCAAGTTGTATGTCAGATTGTCTTATCTATATCTAATGGATTTCCTTCATATAATGACCCTCTCATTCCTCTCTTTCCAGTATGACAACTGAACGGGTGCACTATATAGTGAAATATGTAAATGTTTAGTGTAAATACGTTGGAAAGCATGATCAAACTACTTCCTTCGCTTACTCCGATGCATCGAAGGAGTAAAACATCAGTTGCATATATATATCATCGAGGGTATACAAGACAGACCCACATGCCACCTATTGCAGCTGTAATCAAGTACTACTTAACAGCCGACAAGAATGTATCACCCCATAGAAGGGATTTTCAATTATTAGACCAAAAAATCACCCCAGCTATACTAGTAGTAATAGTAGCAAAGGGGGAAAACTCAGCAATAAACCATACCTACAGTCAATATCCAACAAGTCCACAATTCAATATCGATAGTTCAGAGGATGGTCCGAACAAATTGCCGGTTCGTTCAGAGGACTGACTGGCTGGAGGATGATCTAAGGAATATACCAACCGCATTATCGGGTTCTCTTGCTTAGTAGTAAGAGGAAATATATAATACCGCCCACACTTTCAGAGAGTTCACCATTACTTAGTTGCTAAACACGCAACAGTGATGAAACCGCACTAACAAGTCAATCTGTAACTCTCATCTTAGAGAGGACACTACTTAGTGGCATTGTAATAGCACAAGAGTATTTGGGCACCAGTTTACCCCCGGTCTCTCTCGTGTGGTTAATATAGACAGCTCAATATTTATTATACAACCTATATAAAGCTAAACTACTGACTAATGTATTCGCTGTCTGGTATATATTAAAGAAGGGGGGGTAAGAGCTGTACAAGCAAGCGTATACCGGCCGTTGGACCCATGTCTATCATGATGACCATGCGATCAAATAAAGAAATATACAATGTATGCGCGTCCAGAAGGAGGCGCAGGGTAGAGCAAGATAGTCCGGTCTCCGGTGGTAGCAAGGCTTCAACAGTATCAGCTGGTCATCCATGAAGTGACACGCTGAGCTCCGAATCTTCCCATAAACTGTAGTCCAGTACTACCCATCGGGAAGTAGCTGACAAGGTACCAGAGCAGGGCAGCTAGCTGAAACACCGACGAGATGAGCGTCAACAGGGTTGAATGAAGCTAGAGGAGAAAAGACGATTAGCAACCGGTATTCCCACTGGTGTTCTTGGTGTGCACGGGCCCGACTGGGGTCTACAGTAGTGCATGCACATCCAACCTGCTACTGTTGCAGGACGATATGAGAGATCATATTCACGACCGGGGTGGCGGTGCATTATGATGTCATATCGTCGGCTGAAGGCTCCGACTGTACGCGCACGACCCAGGTATGCAAGATCCTCGAAATCGACAGGTTGGTATGCGATCGCAGAGGCGTACGCTCAGATAGTACAGGCATACACAACATGGTCCGGCAGGGAAGATCCTGGGCAATGTAGCTAGAGCCAAACAAACAGGGGTACTTACTCCGATAGCAAAGTACAAAGTCATGGCGATCGAGCCGAAATAGGCCGCCGTGAAGGGCAGACGTGGTCCCGAGACCAGATGTTTCGCGTAGACCAGGGGTCCCATGAGGACTGCCCATGATAGGAGAAAGAGCAAGGAACCAACCGACCACCTAGTTCAAGAGGTAAAACCGGTTCGATCAGCCACAGATTCACAGGAAGTTCCTTGGCAAACAGTATGGGTGAGGCGTGATGGAGGGTTCAGCACGGACGCTGGAATGTAGTCGGATCGGAGACGCGTGGTGCATAGTCCCCAGCGAGGAGGGCATGACAAGCACTCCACCGCCTCGTGCCCTCCCCGGTGGGTGGGCGAAGTAGGGGATGTATTGGGGTTCGATAAAGATCAACGGGAATCTGTAGAGCAACTTACAGGATGGCAAATTTGCGGGGTTTCAGTGATAGGACCGGGAACAGGAAAAAGCAAAGGAGGAAGCAGACGGCGGCACCAAGGTTGCATGCGATGAAAATGAGCATCCGATCCCATCGACTTACTGTAAAGGGAATGTATGATTAGCATTAGCCAAAAGTTAAAAGGGGAGGAGGTAGGGCGGCAAAAAAAAAAACAAAAAATGCGTAGAAGCGCAGAAAAAAAAAAAAAAAAAAAAAAAAAAAAAAAAAAAAAAAAAAGGAACAAAAAATGGAGAATAGGAAAATTAAACGGTGGATGACAAAGTATAGTCCCATAGGTAAATAGAGAGTAGAGTACATCACGCAGCTATTCCTAGGGCTTCCGTGGAACCCAGACAGATGCAGGAACTGAGTCTCTGTCACCTGGACTGGGCAGTGCAGCAAATCAAGGAAGAGAGCATCTTTACGGAAAATCGGTCATGCGTTCGGAGGACTTACAGGCAAAGAAAGTATCTTCCTCCTCTCGGCGACTTGCGGCGGGTAGGGGAGCTCCCGGAGCTTCATGAGTGGGCAGTTGCAGATAGCCCTCCCCTTGACCAAATGGATTCCAAGACTGTAACCGTGATAGGATAGGCGTATTCGACGAGTTATTGCGGGCGGAGAGATCTGGGTCTCGTCGCGACCAACCCAGGGAGTTGACCGAATCGCGGAATGAATTGGTGGCCATGATTGCTATTCGCTTCTGTGCCGGGCCTAGTTACACCCTGGTGGAAGAGGGGCAGGGTAAACGAAATGAAAGCAAGATACTTGCCTTCGGACAATGTTGCTACCGGGGTTGGTGTACACTGCCAGTCGACCACTGGAAGAGCGACACTGCGGTGACAAGGTGAGAAAGGCTCTGCAGGGACTATGCACGACGGAAACCAATATGTGCGTGCAGATGATCTGCAGATATCAATGATGGAGGGGGGGGGGGGAAAGACGACGGCGAGTGAGTAACAGGCGGTGATAGGATCGAACTAAAGCGGGCCAGATGACTGTTGCGCAACCGGACTAGACTCCCGAGGAGCTTGGGCACGGGACAAACCTAGCGTCCGCTAATAGAAACTTCGGACGTTGGTGGTCCACTGGTGTCTTCTCAGAGTGAAGCTGATAAGCTTGTGATCGCCCTCCTGCCCGATTCGTAAAAGTCGTGTTATCGATAGTAACCTGTCACCAAAGGGGACTGCGCCTCCTGGAGGTAGTCGGCCTATTCTTAGAGGAGGGAATTGCGAGTGCTCCTAGCAGTAGCGCAGACTGAAACAGTATCTCCGAACGGCCGATGTAACAGTTCTAATAACCCAGTGTGTCCCACGAGCTGTAAATCGGGGGTTTAGTCTCCCACCCCGGCGCAAGGAATGCAGAGATCGAACGGCCAATTACCCAGCCGGGAGAGGAGCTGCGCCGACCGGAGAATGAGAGGGAGGGTGGAGGAAGCTGCAAGATGATGACGATGACGATGACGATAATGGGGGTTGAGAGAGCGAGGATGGTAGCTGGCGTAACGCTGGGGCCACCCGAATTTCAAGACAGAGATCGGCTCTACACAGGCTGCAAGATTAGCCAGTCGTCATCTGACTTGGGAGGATGGAAGGAGGAGAAGGAGGAGTCGAGCAAAAGACGAGAGGGGAAGTCAAAGGAGGGGGGGAGGATATGTGGGTGTGGGTGTGTGTGTGTGTGTGGGTGGGCGTTGAGCAGGTGGTCGCGATGAGTGTAGGCAGAACAAGGCACGTAGCCAGAACACCACCACTACCACCACCACCATTACCAGCTAGAGAGATAGGGAGAATACGGTCACATACCAAAGCTCGCAGAAACTGATACTATCTCCGAAACGCAAGTGGATGATTGAGTGTGGTTGTCAACAATGGGGGAGCCTCTTTACCCACAGGTGTCGCGATAATTATCGGGGGATGATTGCTTTCCAGCACCAGCACCGCCCATAATCGCCGTCGCAGTTGGAATGGGAGTTCGTCCCTTTCCTGCAAAGCTGGGGTGGGTTACCCCAACAGCCAATCAGCAGCCTCGTTCACAGAGACGGTGTCCCGGTGACGGATCTAAACCCAAAACGAGCTGGTGACCCCAGCTGAGCAATCGCTCCACCAATCACTGCTTGAAATGGCGCCATGGCAGGCAGGCTGGATACAATTAATTGGCTGGTTTGAAGACCATGGGAGAGTTCGGCCACACCGCCCATGGGGTTAGTTAAAACCGTTTGGCGCCTGTTCCGCTGACCAGGTCGCGTCCTTACCATACCGAAACATACTTACTTCCCACTGCTACTAGTAGTTACACTAGTAAGTACTACTAGTAGATACAGACAGTACTATCAGTAGGTGCCGGTAGCCTACCTACTACTACTTACCTGCCTTGGTACATTTCGTCGTCTAGGTCAAAACAGTGTCCACCCACTAACTACATGACTAGTCATCTGTAATTGGTGCCTATCTCCAAGAGCAACCAAAAAACCTGTTCAGGATTGTAAAGGTGCGTTGCTCCCTCATGGTTGGCTTCTCAGCTCGTCGAATGAGAAGCCGAGAGACTGTGGTTAGACGAGTGGCGCCCTGGAACCCCTTCCGGCTGGCTTCTTTCCTAGTCCAGTCGATCCTGGTTAGAGCAGCCGGGGATGCAGAAGCCTACTTGGACCTCAGTACAATCTCCTCCTATCCATGGTGTGTCTGCATTAGAATGCTTATCACGGCCGATAGCTTCTTAGTTGGGTTGCATCAGGCAACTCCAGGGAGAGACATGTTACGTACATTCGCTGCGTAAAACTGGCTAAAGTCAAAAACCCAGAAGCGAATGATTTACCTTTGCACAGTCCCGTAAATCTCCAACATGCGAGCTTTTGTCTCTTTTAGGCGATAGTAAACTAGCGTCGAGATCAAACGGAAAGGTGTTGCCGGCCGGATAATTAACCCCGCCAGAGTCTGATTATCTTCCTGTTGCTACTTTAGAGGAATTCCTCAGCTGGGATTGAAATTCCTGTGTCTTTTGCTCTTTCTGTCTCTCTGATATTGAAACCTTAATTCCTGGCCGGGTAGGAAGCTGTTCTGAACCCCATTAGCGTCACAAGTTACTGGATGGATGATGAACTCTCTCGCCTGCATATCATACGCAGCTAGTAGCTACTGCATCCTAATAGCACCTGCACGTACAAGAGAGTCGGCGGCCAAGCATAGGGACCGACCAGCTCTTGCCATCGTCATGGCCAACCATCAGATACATACGTAGTGAGAACTCCCTTGCAGTAACCGTGGATATCGGCCATGCCCTCCGAACCTTGACGGGACGGGACGGGCACGATTTGCGGGAACCAATGCTATTCCTTCATTAGGCTTCCACTTCTGGTGCAAGTACCGGGCTTATCTGTTGATTCCGCATTCGGCAGAATCGACCGGACTTGTGGTCTGATACCGGTCATCCATTATCATCATTCCACCAGCAGCTGTATGTACGATGGTGTCATCGTTGGGAATGGCGGCGCCAGGTCGCATACCAGATTATTGTCCGCTGGGGGGGAAGTCTACATAACGATCGGTGCAGGAATTTAGGTCAGTGGGCGTGGTTCATGGTGTAGCTGGTCGGGTCGTGACATACCACCTATCGTGTCTGCGGCACTTCGAACCAGGGTTGACAAGCTAATCTCTGCTGGTGGCTTCTTTCGGGCTATCAGGACTCCCCGATTGATTTGATGCTGCAAGGTGATTGGCAATTTACTTTTGACAGCATTCCAGACGCAGCTCAATTGTTTTCCCACTCGCCGGATCATAAGGCTCCCCACATTCCTGGTGGCTTGTATTTCAAATCATCGAGCATGAAAAGTCAAAAGGCAAATGATGGAATGAATGGAATTAAATCTTGTCGCGACGCGCGGGTGCGCATAGGGAAGCGCTTCTTATGAAGACTGCTCGGAATAACGCGAGAAGAATGAAGCCATTACCCCGAGAGCAGGAAAAAGGAGAAAACAATAGGAAATTAAACCAGCTCCCGCGCTTGGGACACCGTCGCATTGCACCAACCCCACCCCATAATTCAAAGTAGAAGCCTATCAGATGGCACAAGCTGGCGCACTCTTTCTCGGGAGGCGACAGGATGCACGGTGTCACGGACCGCCTTCTGTGTCAGCCCCAACCTGGAGACGCTCGGACGCCGAGGTGTCTCTTCTGGAAGCCCGACTGCTTCTTCCTAAGGGCAAGGAGGCGGTTCCATGCTCATCTTCGTACTCGAGGTGGACGTGCGCAAATAAGATGAGAAGGAGGGTCTTGATATGCGAAGGAAGCCGACCTTACTAGCCTGACGATACCGTATCCCGGGCAGGTGCCCGGTGTGTGTATCTCTCCCCAAGATAATGGTGGCTGTATACCTCCTAGATACGAGCGGTATGTATGCCTGGAGCTAAACCTAGTGCGATGGACATCGTATTGTGTTCCATGGTAAAGGCGGTGTTTTGTGCCGCTCGTCGGTCCTATTAGTGTGCAGCGATCTTGAACATGATCATCCAGAAGCCTGGGTAGTAAGTAATAGTAGTAGTGATGAACAGAGGTAACCTGGACAGATTTCGAAGTTGCTGAACAGAAGGAGATCGTTTCCCTCAGTTTCCTTACCACATGGTACGCCACGATCATTCATCCCTTCTCCGATACCCGCCATGAAGCACTCCGGCGGAGAGCCTGGGGAATTAATGATCAAAACTAAAATTACCGACAATCTATTTTGAAACAATTTATCCATCCTGAGGAACCCCTCAGTACATTAGCAGTATACTATGATGTCATCGTTCCCTTTTGAAAATTAAAATTGAAAAAGCAAAACCATGATTTTTCTAAATCTCACGCTCCATGGTCATTAGTCCGCCCGTCAGGATGAATGATCTGGTATGCTTGGGGCTTGCCCAGCCTGGCATCTGATACATTCCCGAGTGGGTTCCTAAAATCGAGGGTAAGGAAGTATAGCAGGCTGGCTGCTCCTATAGTAGGCGTCGGGGTTGTAAGTCCGACGGCGATAATGATTGCTGTCTTAGCGCCCTTTTTGGTTCAATACGATGGAAGTATATGGCGCAACGAGATACTTTGTAATAAGTAGCAACCAACCAGAATCCAACCTGGGATAAGATGAGTGATAATAAACCGGATAACTAACATCTTGCCATGGGGATAACACCCCTCCCCCTCCCAAAGGCTGACCTCGAGTGAGTCATTCTAGTCTCTCTTTCTTTTTATTTTTATTTAATTATTTCTTGAACCTGGCAAAAAAGGGACAGGTGACAAATATAGTAGTACCTGGATGCTCATGGGATTGAGAGGGGAGGTTAACCTCCCCCATCCGGACGGTGCTACCCTCCTTGATGGATGCTTTTCTGACCGTCTCTCCTACAACCTACTTACCCTACTTACAGTACACCCCCTCCTGCCCACCAACCACACGCCCCCCTTTCTTCTGCTTGTATTGGTCTCATCCCCCTCCATCTTCACATACTTAGCTTCCCACGCCTTAGCTTCATCGCCACCAAGACTTGCCTTTTCCTTCCCTCCTTTTCATTAATTAATAAATTGTATTCATTCTTTTTGTAATTTTGTTTTGCCCGCTATTTTAGTGTTGCTTTGCCGTTTCTGATTATTCCCTTTTTCTATTTTTCAAAAATAAATGATATTAATTTAATTCCACACCCTCTACTCCAAGCTGGAGAACCGGTTTACGCATGTAATCCCCGTAGATGCTTTGTTAAGCCTCGTTGATTGAGGATCGACGCCCTGCATGACCTTGACCGTGATATATCAAATGAGAGGCTGTGAAGAACGCCGCGAGAGTCTTTTAAAGTCCCCCTCATCCCCTCGTCTTTTCAAGCCTAGGTGTTCTGTTTCTTTTTGATCTTATCTGGAATACCACTACTACTACCGATCATACCATCTACCACCTTGAATCTTGGAATCCTGTCGACAGAAGCTGGGACTTCTTCATTTGATGATTGTTGCGTCGCCCGGCTGCGCCGCATTGACTCTCCCGCGAATTGCCTGTTTACGGTCACCGTCGCTCAAGGGTAGTTCCCAGTAACTTGACAGTACAGTCTCTCAGAGTCGCTGAGCACGAACCCCTCACTGTTGCGACATCTCACACCCAACAGGGCACAAGTAAGTAATCACAGCTAAATACCTTGTCGTCTCCTTTGCCCCGGTCCCCTTCCATACTTTTTTTTTCGCATATAAGCCCCTCCTGCCGCTGAGATAAGGCGGCTGGCTTCATAAGCGCTTTCATTGTTACTCCCTTCTCTTGTTTGCTTTTTCATTTCTGCCTGGTCTCTGGATACTTTGAGCCTCACCTCTGTCTACCTCTGTTACTATTCCTCTTTCTTTCCATCACTTACCTCCGCGGGGCCATCCCTTCTACTATCACACTGTGCGTCTATGACTGTTGCGCCATCAACTGCACTATTTCTGTCACTGCAACCTGAAGGATATGACTAATACTAATACCTCTTGTGCAGGTCTGTGAAGAACATCGCTCATACCTGACCCTGGACACGTCTAAACCTAGTAAGTTAGTTTTCCTACAGTTTCGCATATCGTTTTTGAGTTCTCGATTATTTTTGTCCTGCATCATGTTCCTTTGAAGCCTGGTCGCACTGGGGATTGAGGATCCCGCTTGGAGAAGATGCAAGCAAACCTGAACACACTCTAAATCCGATGACGGAGGAAGCAAAGCCAAAAGAAGGAGGGGTATGGGTTACTCCTCATTCCTCCAGTATGTGATATCCGGCAGAGATATTGCCGGGGTTGTCATGGCTTCAACCGAGCTGTGGTCTGGGAAGAGCAACAAGCGACGGTTGCAGCACAGCGCCGTTGGGCTTCAACCCCTGCATGCTCTCTCGGCGGGGGGAGGGTAATACCCACTGATCGCGGGTCGGAGGTCGAACAGTTCGCGGGAAGACAGTGAGCAGGCGCCTATGAGATGCTCCAATTTGCTCCGACATCCCCAAGGGGTTGAGTTACCGCGGGGCAACCTTGGAAGGCTCATTCTTGTCTCACGGACCCCGAGTCGGAGAGCGCTTCCCGGTTGGACTAAAGCGGGGAGGCGGTAATCGGCGAGAAAAGAAACGAGGGGAGAGGGGAAGAGGAGAGACATTCTGCACCTTCATCGTGATTATTGTCACACATAGTCACATACGCCATGTCTATGTCTCGCTTAACAACACCCCCAAGGCACGCCGAGAGGAAAGGGGAACCACGGGGAGACCGAGGGGGTGGGATCGCAGCGGGTGGCAGATTTCCGGGGCAAATCGATGGCATCTCCACACTTCCACACTTTCCACTGCCACGCCCGCATACTGCCACCACTGACCGCTTGCCCCCAGCAGTCCCACCGCCCGGGGAATGCTCAACACGATCGGTTTTGCCTCTCTTTCTCCTCCCTCTTTAGTTGCCCCCCCACGGTGCCTGTTTCACTTTCAGCCCATCAAGTGCATCCATCCATCCACATTCATCTCTCGCCTCCTCCACTCCTTTCCCCTCTTCCCATCCCAGATTCTCCCAGCGTCTGTCGCATATACCCCAGACCCAACTCGCATCCATCATCGAAACAGTAATTCTCAGGAAGCGCGCTTTCCACCCCCCCACACACTCAACCTCCCCCGGTGTGCAAGTACAAGGCTCCATCTCATCTCGTCTTGTTCGTTCCCGTGGATCTTCCTCACTCTCAACTGTGACCGGCTCCGACTGCTCTTATCGCTTCCCTTTTCCCTTCCCTTTTTCCCTTTTCCCCTCCCCCATTGTTCCAGCCCATCGCCTCCGCGGCCCCATCTGGCCGCCTTTTCACCCTCTCTCCCTCTTTCTGTCTCCCCTTTATTTTGCCTCGCTTATGGCCACGCAATTCTGTTTCCTTCTTTGATCTCTTTTTCTTACTTTCTATTTTCCTTTTTTTTCCCAGCTGCTACTTTGCCCATTTCCCCGGTCGCTTACCACAGACCTTTCTGTGCAGTCTGCTCTTCCTCTGTGCGGTTCACAATCAACGAGGCAGCCTATTGGGTTTCGGACTCCGCCCACGATAGTGGCATTTTCCGAGGCGTCCGCTTTCGAATCTTACCTTTCTACCACAACTTCGCCCACCGCGACCAGTCAAATCCGATCGCGAATTACCCCTCGCATTCGCCTTGAACTCATCCCGGGTTCAGCACCAATCGTATCTTTGCCTCATCCAGGAAGCGTCTACCGCGCAGTTTCTTGCTCGTCAAGTAGACATCCCACTCTTCTGGTTGGTAACTCCGTACCTTCCCTGTTTTGTGGTGGTCTGAGCCACCTCCTGTCTCTCTTCTCCCTGAAATTAGATCGTGGCTCATTCTAGTGTCGCCTTCTCTCTCTGTTTGATTGAGCGCTAACGGGCACTTGTCCGATCTGTCAGATTTTCTCCCCGCCACCCTCGCAACTCGCCCGACCTCGTTGATGAGTTTAACTCACCGCTTCTATCACTGGACCTCTTAACTATTCTGCGAAGAGGCTAAACCTTCACACGAGGAGCTTTTCTCGCTCCACATTCAGCTTGGGGTTTACTGTGCTCGAACCCCATAGTCCCACAAGCATCAGCGAGTTCGATCTTGAACTGTAAGACTCCCCTGGAAGACGCAGTCGGCTTTCTGCCTGAGTGCTTGCTTAGACTCGCTGTAAACTGGCGGAAGCGAGCATTCTCATCAAGAACAAACCTGACAAACGCAGCAGTGATCAGTCCTCCTTCATGATGTCACAGTCGAACTATATGTCCAATCAATTTGGCAACCCCAACGAGGGGGTTGACCCGTCGGAGCTTAGTATGCAGAACGGTGGATTCATGTCCTACCCATTTACGTCGCAGCAGAACTTCAACTTTGGAAACTCAGGTATTGATACAGATGAGTTGTTGGACCTGGAAATCAACGGACAGAATGGCATGCAGCAGAACTTCCTCCAGGACCAGCATTCGGGTGCCGGAATTTCCATGAGTCATCCGGGGCAGATGTCTCAGATGTACTCCAACACGCCCGATGGAGCTCCCATGAACAGCCCGTTCATGCACAGTTTTAACTATGACCACTTTCGATCCATGAACCAAAACGGCCAGCCCGGCTCTCATCTGCAGAGTGGATCCCAGTTCGAACAGAGTTATCTGGCTTCCAAAGGCCGCCCGAGTTTGCAAGCAGTGGACCGCGCCTCGCTTGATGCGCGCAGTCCGATGACCCCGAGGACCCCAGCCCTTGGTGCATTGACCCTGGGAACCCCAGAATCTGGAAGTTTTCCTACGCAACCCATCCGGACTGGCCTGCAGCATCGCCACCAGAAGACACTGTCTAACCAATGGGACGGTACGCCAGGAAGTGCCCATTCTTTCGTGGAGTCCCCAATCTCCTCCCCCGGCCACCCTCACCACGCGGGAATCTCGGAGATCCTCAAGTCTGGTAAACATGCTTCCTTGCCGGCCAAGGTTGATACGCACATGCCAGGTAGTGCCCAGGACCTAGAATCCCAAGAGGCCAAGCGACGCCGTCGGCGGGCCTCCCATAACCTGGTCGAGCGCCGGCGACGGGACAACATCAACGAGCGCATCCAGGATCTCTCCCACCTCGTTCCCCAGCATCGCTTGGAGGATGACAAAGTCCGGAAGCAGCTTGTCAACAACACAGCAATGTCTGCCACTGGAGCCACCCCCAATGCCGCGACGTCTTTGCTGGCTGGAGGCAATGGTCGCCGGGCCACTGCGGGTAACATTACGATGGGTCTGCCAATCGAGGAGAAAGAGAAGGGCCCCAACAAGGGCGACATCCTGAACGGTGCCGTAGGCTGGATGCGTGACCTAATGTGGGCCCTACATGTTAAGCTCCAGCAGGAATCGGAGCTGGCTGAAATCATCAGCAACTTGGGTGGAACTTGGCCATTCGAACAGACCGAAGAAGAGAAGCGGATGAGAACGGAGATTCTCGATGCTTTGGAGAAGAACGACCCTAGTTCGTTCACTTATAGCAGGGCACCCGGAAGCGGGCTGCGAGTACCGAAACACACGAACATGGCAGGGGACTCTGTGGCTGGCAATGGGGCTTTGAGCCCCCAGAGCCTGAGCCCCCCGTTCAACGGCAACGGCGGTAGCAACGGAGGCTCTGGGCAGGCTCAGTACTGGAGCAGCTCGGGTCACGCGGGCATGAGCTTCAAGGAGGAAGACGAGTATGCGATGGAGATGAATTAGATACATTCCCGCTAACTATCGCTCGAGCTCTCATTTCTTCAAACGAACGCATGTCATGAGCTATTGCATACAAGGGCGTCAAACGGACGGGTAGTTGACCGGCGTACACGGAAGCCTTATCATGCCATCGAGGCTAAAGGGCCAGTTGAACTTTCTTTTCGTCAGTTGTTTGATACTTCTCACGTGTGGTTCTCGCTATACTTGCCTGGGATTGGCTGTCTCGGATTCTTATTGCTATTATCTTCATTCTTTGCCTAATTTCTGGTGGGCTTTACTTGTTGAGTTGATTGTCTTATGTGTTTGTCTTGTGAATTTCCAGCTAGCTATCTTGGGTTGCATGTTTTCTGTTGTTCTTTTGCGCATAATGGTGAGCAAGGTCGGAACACGACATGTCTTGCGTCATTTGGCTTCTTTCCCTTTTACATCGATACCCTTTTCCCATTGTCCCGGTTTCACAGTCTTCAACTTTCCTACTTCATCCTTAATATCCTTTTGGCTATTTTGACCCCATTTCGGATGTCATTTACGGCTGCTATCTATTTTCGATTTAAATTACATAGCATGATTCATTGATACAATGGTGCATTCGGTGCATGCAACTTTACTCTCTACTCAATGCTCATTTTCCTAATTTACAATGGAAGTTACTACAATCATTGGCCCTGCCACAGGCAATAGAAGCCTAGGCATCAGCAGTAGATGAGTCGACACGTGTCCTGCACGCCATCGAACAGGCACATGGAGTGTTCTAGACCCCATTTCCTAAGGGTCTAACCAGCAAATGATAGTAGTCCAAGGATATCTGATGTCTATCGTAGCGCCCGCCATCATGCAGTTCCCCGGGGACGATGATTGCCCGACTACTGTAGGTACCAATCCTGGTGAGACCAGGATGGACCCATTCCATGGGTCCACACAGACATACATTAGACAGACATATCACATGCATTTCTTTCTTTTCCTCATTTCTTACTTGCTTATTCTCACGCTGTGCATACAGCTAGCCACTTTTGCATGGTACCTACATACACACATACATAGTACATGAATAGTACGGATCTAGTAGCATTCAATAAATGCAGTGCCCAGTATCTACAGTACTATCTCAAAAGCAAATATTGGAAAGGAAGGGAAAGGGGGAAAAAAGAAGGGGGAATACTTTCAAATTTAACATGAAATGAACAACAACAACTAGACCCTTCAGACTCTTTTTCTCTCTTTTTTACTCTTTTTCTCTGTCCCGTCTATTTCTATTTCTATCCCCCTATCTCTGGTAAAGTAGAAATATAGAAACTAAACAAAGAAAGAATTCATTTCACAAAAAAAAAAAAAAAAAAAAGGGAAAAGGGAGGTGTAGGAGGAGGATCTTACTCGCCCCTCATATTTCTAAAGAAGTCCATGACTCCCGTAAACACAACAAGAAGGATACCACCACCAGGACCCAATCTCAGCACCTTGGGCAAGAATCCCTTATACAAAGCAGCAAATCCTTCCTCCTTCATGACAGTTCCGACGGCAGGCCAAGCCCAGTTGTACTTGGGCACTTGACCGGGGACCTTCGAGGTGTTTTGAATACGGGACTTGACGACGTCCATGGGCGTGTTGAGAATCGTACCGGCCGTACCACCGATCGTACCCGCGATCAAGTCATTGCGTGTCTGCTGGCTCTTGTTGCCCGGCTCGGCGGCAGGGAGCTGCGCGCGCACCTGGAAGATACAGCCGAAGTAACCCGAGTTCCAGAGAATGTGGCGCCACAGGGTGGATTCCAGACCGTTGTACATGGCGAGGGGACCCTCCGCGGCGACGATCTTCTTCACGACGTCCAGCATGCCGTTGTATTTGCCGGCCGAGGCGCGGTCCTGCAGACGGATCTTGACCAGCTCGAAGGGCACGACGACGAACGACTCGGTCGCTCCGGCCGTCGCTCCGGTCAGGATCGCCAGTGACTGTGTTTGCTTCTCGGCGCCGAACAGGTTGCGGTAGAAAGCGCCCCAGCTGTCGTTGGCGGCGAACTTGGTCGCACGCTTGGGCGCTTCCATCAGGATGGGGGCGGAGATACCGCGGTACAGGCGGGAGAAGCTGTTATTGGGGGAGGTGGGTTAGTTTGGTTGTGAGGGGGTGGTTGGGGGGGAGGGAGTTGATTGGCGTACCCCTCGTTCTTGACGATCTTGCGCAGGCAGTCGAACATGCCATTGTAGTATTCCTCACCGGCGACCGCGGTACCCTTCTGGAGTTGACTGAAGGTGGGATAGGTTAGTGGGTGGTTGCAATTGGGGAGAGATAAGAGAAGTAGAGCTTACACTCGAGTCTTGACCACGTCCAAGGGGTACCTGGGGGGAAGGGGATTAGTATTGGCTGGTTGAATTGTGTCGATTGAGGGTGGGAAATGCGCACATAACCAGAATCTATGGCAGAGTTAGTCGCGTGCTCCGGTGAACTGGCAGCGGGATCACACCATACGTACCTCGGACACACCGGCGACGGCACCGGCAATGAATTGGTAGCCGAAGGGCAAGGGCTTCTGGGTGTCGTTGTTCGACATGGTGATGAATTGGCCAAAAGTAGGCGTGCAGACGAAACAACAGACGGGGAAGACGAGTCGGGAGAGGGGAAGAAAAGAAGAAGAAAGAGGGAAGAAGTGATGGAGAATGAGATTATCGAGGGAGGAGGCCGCAGTCGGAGAGGGTCGGGGACTCACCGGGACGTCGCCCGATCGGGTAAAATGCCGCCCCACGTGCCGCCCCACGGGGCTTTTGACGCTTACTTATACCTGCCACCGCATTCATCGGTTCAGTATCATTGTCATTGTCATTGTCATTATCATTTCGCTATGCATGCTCTCGTGATCTACGTATCAAATCATGTCTATCATAACGCCAGGGCCGCTAGCATACCCATGCCCATCACCCCCCACTGCTGCCGCAATTGATCACTCCCACTCGTGGCCTGCTCCTTGGCCACGGTCTCCGTCGCCGTTGACACTGCCGTACAGCTGGTCCCGCACTTGTATCCCGACGGACAACAACCTCCCCCGACGGATTGGGCGCAGCTGAACCACCCAGTTGCGCATCGCCCGGGAGAGCTTGTTGTTGTCGTGGATGCCGTCGTCGTGGCCACAGGGACTACAATTGTCACTCCGTCGCTAGTGAAGGTCGTCGAGGGCGTTGCCGGGCAGGATGTCGTGTCGCAATCGCGGCCGGTTCGGCAGCATCCTCCATGGTAGACGGCAGAGCAGGCGTAGAACCCGGTTGGGCAGACCGATGCCGTACTGGTAGTCGTGGTCGTCTTGGAGTTCGTGGAGGTAGATACAGTGGTAGGTCGAGAAGGAGGCACAAGATCGCCCGTGGTTTGCGTCGCAGTGGTTTTAGGGATGGTGTGTGTGGATGTCGATAGCATGACGGTTGAGCTTACTGTGACCGTGATTGTGTAGACGCGCATACCTGAGCCGTTAGCCTCAATAGCGACACAAAGTAGGGGGTTCTTCAGTTGATGCAGGTTACTTACATCCCCCGGTGACACATTCGTACCCTGGGATACAGCAGCCACCGCCCAGAGACGACGAACAACTGGAGTATCCGTCCTGACATGATCCAATTGTTCCCGAGCACGTCTCTCCCTTCGGACAACAGCCTACGTCACCAGATCCGGTGTCGTTGACCAGAACGCACGTGTCGCTTGTACTGCAGCAGCTTTCAGGTCGATCTATCGATGAGCATCCGTATGTGCCGGAAGGACATTTGAAGTCTCGCCGAAGAAGCGGTGAGAAGTGCTCACTCCACCCGCGCCTTTCGATCTCGAGGTCGCTCGGGTAGGAGGGTCGAAAGGGATATGAGCGAGGTTGAAAGTAGACCTTCTCGGTTGTGTTGAGGTTATAAGGTTGTGCTTGTGATAAAGAATCATTGACGTTTGATGTGTTGCCGGCTGTATAGGCCTCGTCGAACAGCCAGTAGTCGAGGAAGAATTTCTCGCCCTCATCGTCGGTCATCTTATGGACTCCGCGGACAGGCTTCTGAGATAGGTATGACTCGATAAGAGCATTGTGTTGATCGATCGAATCCGTATCCTGGGAGTCATTGGTGATAGAGACATTGCTTGCGAAGGCTTGTCCTGCGATTGATGGGCCGAGGATGCAGGCCAGCAAAGATATTGACAACATGAGGTCGTAGTTTCTAGGACTGGGTCATAGTCAGCGCACGAAACATTTCCAGGAATGAAGTCGCACATACATAAGTAGTATATATTATCGTCTTCCGAAAGGACGTTATCGGAAGAGCTCCGTGATAAGTCGACCGACAAGGTGACAGAAGGGAAACAACCGGGATCAACTGCAGATCATACCGGCACTAAATACACGAAGCACTAAGCATGAAACTAACAGTCGGGGGGCAACCGACTCTCTCCTCTCTGCCCAAAGACAGTGTGGCTGGGAAAGAGTGGGAACAACAATTAACAAGGCAACGGGGGCCTCCACCGTCCCGATCGGGAAATAATGCCAAAAAGGTGACAATAAATGGATACCTGATTATGCCGGCAGTATTCTACGTTCACCGCTTTGCGTCATGGCGGTGGGCCCCCCGTTCCATGGGAATCAAGAAAGTGGAGAGTAAGTGAGTCTCAGCTCCATTCCATCTTGACAGCTGCCCGTCCACGGATCAGCTTATCATTGGATGATGGAGAAATGTTGACTGTTGGAAATTGGAGAATGCAACTGTTGGCCGAACTAACTATAGAAAGGAGTGAGGAGGGCTGAGAAGGTGCGCGGGTAATGGCGAGCAATATAGATCCAACATAACCCATGTTACTCCCTGCACAGCGCCATCTACTGGCGTCCCGATTAGTGGGAGGGCGCTTGCTGCTCACAATGGCAGGGATTGCTACCCCCCATCTCATCCCAGCAATGGTTCTTTTAACGCGGCCTGTCCCCCTCGACTTTTTCTCTCATTCCATCTTCTCTCTCATCATCTCTCTCATTCTCAATCATGGAAGATTCATCGTTTGAATATCCCAGCGACATTCTCTACACCCAGGAGCCTCTCTCGGGATACAAGTTTGGTGGATATCATCCCGTCCGTATCGGCGATACTTTCAAAGATAACCGCTACACTATACATCACAAACTCACGTGGGGAGGTTTCTCCACCGTCTGGCTTGCCCATGACAATCTGTGCGTCACAAATGCCCATCTGTCCCATCTTACATAAATAGACACTGATAACTTCAAAGACGACACCGATGGGTCTCCTTGAAGATCAAAACGGCAGACACATCGTACAGTTCCCAAGAACTCCAAAATCTCCAGCAGCTGGAGAAGATTGCCGCTCCGGACGATCTCTCGTCCAAGTACATTCTCCACCTTCTGGACGCTTTCATCCAGCCCGGCCCCAACGGCATCCATCAATGCCTGGTGTTTGAGCTGATCGGTCCTACCATCGATCGCATCATCACTGACTACCGCGAGCTCTCGGATTCCCTTGATCCACAGACCATTCTTCGCTTGTCGAGGCAGCTCCTCAAGGCTATCGAATTGGTCCATAATGCGGGTGTGGGGCAGATAGGTAAGCTCCTACTTATAGTCAAACCTTGAGTATTCTCTTGACTAAGTCGAACCAGACATCAGCGGCAGAAACATCGTTTTCAGCGGTAGGAACCTGTCCTATGCATCGGAGAAGATCATCTTTGCGGTCTTTGGCTCGCCCGAGCACGAACCAGTGACCCACCTCGATGGCACTCCGCTGCACAAAGGCTTCCCAGCGGCTCTGTTTGGACCGGTGAGTTGGGAGGACTGGCTAGAGGAGTTTGCCGAGGAGCTCCGCATCTTTGACCTAGGAGAGGGCTTTGCACAGGAAGAGAAGTCGAGGATACTCGCGCAACCGGGTCCTTCGCGGGCTCCAGAGTTGATTTTCACGGGGAGGTCTGATCACAGGACTGATCTGTGGCATACGGGCTGCATGGTATGTGGATCATCAAGAGAATTTCTCGAAAAAAATGATGCTGACAAGATTGCAGCTATTCTTCTTCGTGTTCGGGACATACCCCTTTGACTCCGATGTAGAAGATATGGTAGTGGTCGAGCAGATGATAGACCTTCTGGGCGAGTTACCTCGGGAATGGCAACCTGCCTGGGACCGTATGCGAGCGGAAGCTGGAGACATGATGGATTTTCAAGGTGAGATACTAGAACCACTGCTTATTAATGCATTTGTTCCTCAGCATGCTGACTTCCAAATACTAGGCGACGAAGTCTTCACTCTGGAGGACCGCTTCGATAAGGAAGTGGCCGAGCCAGAGCTCGCTCCTCTGATCCCAATCATCCGCGCATTGCTGGAGTTTCGGCCTTCGGAGCGCATTACAGCTCCGCAAGCCCTTAGTCTTTTGGGAACTCAGGGACAGTGAACGAAGTCATGATATTGAGTTAGCTCGTCAATTTAGCATTTGCTGCAGAGAAGAGAAGAGAATATATATACGTTTTTGTAGTTTATACAGCGATTAGTAGTAAGGAAATATGACCAAGAAGAGTGTTGCTAATAGCATCCATCTGCAGTACCAACCATCCTTCTTGGAATCAGATGGCTCTCTCAGCAAGATGAACTTTCACCACCGTCCCATCAATAGGTTTCGCGGTGACCTGCATAGTCTAGAAACCAAAAAGTAAGCCACCCTTCTACCAACCTACAAGAAAAAAGGAAAAAGCCAAAGAAAGAAAACTTACATTGAACAATTCCGTCTCCACTTCATACTGCCCCTTAGCAGCATTCAAGATAGGCGCTCCAGTCGCATCCCGCGCAAGTGCGCCCACCCCCACCTTCTCGAAATCGAAGCGCCGAACCGTACACGCCAGGATTACCCGGGCCTCCAGGTTGGCTAGCTCTTGACCAATGCAGTTGCGCGGGCCGCGCTCGAACGGTCTCCACGCGCTGGCGGGAATATGAGCGCTTGCGACCGAACCTTCCCCATCCCCTTTATCCTCCGCGCTATCCGGGACCAGTCCTAGACCGGTATCTGTGTTTCCCAGCCACCGCTCGGGGATGAATTCATCTTTTGTCGGTCCGTACACTTTCTCCTCACGATGGACGAGTGTCGCGTTGAGATAGACGACCACTCCGTCTAGGCAGAGCGTCTTACCGTCTGGTAATTGCACGTTGAAGCCTGAACCTGGGGGCATGTACCGCGCTGATCCGGATGGTGGGTACAGTCGTAGAATTTCCTTAATCACAGCAGAGGTATAGGACATACGCTGGAGGAGTTCTTCTCCGCCCGGGGCAAGGAGCTTCTCTTGCACGGCTGCGGGGGATGGGTCTGGTCCGAAGAGGTCGTCGAGTTCGCGGCGAACTTTATCCAGCACGCGTGGGGTGCGACTGAGGATATAGAAGGTCCACTGCAATACGATACTGGTGGTGTCGTGGCCGGCGAAAAGGAAGCTTTTGAGCTGGTCGCATGTTTCCTGGATGACACGGGGATTTAGTTCGTCGATGTCCTGTAGGCTTAGAGAGAGAACACTCCGGGAGCGCTTCTCCGTCGATTTGGACTTGAGCTCAGCAAACTTCGTTTTGATGTGTTCAGCTATCAGGTGATCGATGCGTCGGGATAGAGTTCGACGCCTCCAGTTCATGCGGGGGTCCAGCCAGTCCCATTGCACAC